TTCGAACTCAACTTTATGAAATTATAACGAGGTGAAAGAAAACAAATTTATTTTTAGTTCATTGAACACTAGTGTCGGAAGAAAAAATTTACTCAAGCAGAATTTACTACTTGTGTATGTAAGGATAATTACTTAAAAGGACATGATTATGCATGTGTTTGCTCAATTAATGTATTCTTGTAGATAAATTAAATTAATTGCGAAATTGGCGAAGCATAGTAATTGACGGACTCACGGACATTACGTAGTTCACATGCAGCTAAAGTCTTTTTGTGTGTTATTGGTCTCTCTCGTCCATACGGAAAAAGACAGTGAAGCAATCTCAAAAGTGTAATGGATTTGATTTGATTAATTAAAGTTTACGTGGCGATTCGGTATTACAACACACATGATTGCAATGTACGAGCATCCAATAGAAGAGTTTTTCTCATAACTCAAAAGTGTCACCACCAAAAACATTTGATTGCAATGTTATGTTGCAAGAGGATCTCCGAGTCGGCTTCAATCTCTTTTTGACATTGAGAAAAGGTTGGCCTCTATTTGATTTTGGTGTGTATCTTCTTCGTGTTGTGATCTTATTCTATATCTTTTATCTCCTTAGGCTAAATTTTTAGAATGTATAGTTTTTGCATCCGGAAGAAGGTGATTGCAAAAGAACATGTTGTATTGGTTAATTTTTTTGTCTTATTAATTTATACAATCAGATGACCCCAAAAAAAAGAAAAAAAACTATGTTCGATTTCTGAATGAATAATTCAGTAAACTTTCATTGCAAAAGGCAAACCGTGTACTCTTTTTGTTCGGAGTGGAATCTACATATTTTACATCATGATTTTTGAATTGTACCTTTTGAAATGTTATTTTAATAGAAAAAGTATATAATTATTTCCCCTATGCATAATGATAACGGAATGGTCCCCTAAATCAGGATTAATAAGCACTAAGTTTAATAAATCTTGTTTGTGCTGTAATGGCAGTCCAAATATCTATGTGATGAGTCTATATAATAATCACCGCATTAACATTTTAAATGGTACGATGTGATTATATATTTGTTATATGTCGGTGCTGAATGATAATAAATAAGGTGTCTTGGGTTGGTTAACAATTGTTATTTTGTGTTTGTAATACTACTACCCAATAGAGGAAATAACAGCAAAATACAACTGTAATGGTCCAAAATATCCACGCGATATCGACAGTGAAGAAAATCCAAATATGTATCTGACTTTCTTTTGTTTCC